ACATATACATATGAACACAAAACTTACCATTTAATAATTATTTTTCTTTTACTCATAAATAGATCATGTGCATGCACACGAGAGAGAAAGAAATAGACAAAAGAGAGGGGGGGACAGGAGGAGAGGAGCACTGTCCACAGGCTCAGTGATGCTCTTATTCCTTTCCTCCGGCTCTCCACTCTGCCAGGATCCCAGGCACACACACACGCCAGTGTATTTTTAGGCCAGGGATCGAATCATGGCCACTTTACCCATTTTGATGTGCACAGCTCAGTGGCATTAAATACATTCACATGGTGTGCAACTGTCACCTCTGTCTACTTTCAAATCTTTCTTATCACCCACACACTTTATAGTTATGAAGCAGTAACTCCCCATTACACACACTTCCAGATTACAGGTTTCCCTGTAAAAAAGAATGTACTTTCCTCTGTAAAAAATATTTTTTAAGAGGTTTTTGCCTTAGGGAGTGCATGCTCACTGAAGAGAGAGAGAGAGAAAGAGAAAGTGAGAAATCACCCCACAAGGAGGATGGCCATGCAGCAATCCCTTCTTCTCCTCCTCCTCCTAGGGTCTTGGGCATGGCATGTACACACACGCGCCAAGTGTGAGTGTCAAGCCACCAAGTCTGGGACTCGAATCATGGTTGGCCATGTGGGAGTTCAACAACATAACCGCTATGCCATCTGCTGGCCCTGTAATGTCTGACTCTATAAATCCATATAGTCTCAGAACCAGAACAGTGTATTTGTCTTTTTGTAACTGGCTTCTTTCAATGGCATGTTTTTAAGGTTCACCCATGTTGTAGCATGGATCAGAATTTCACTCCTTTTTAAGGTGGAAAATACAAAAGGTCTTCAGAAAGTTGATGAAAAATGTGTATTATGCAAAAAACTACACAGGGGTGTGGTATTTTGGGCACCAAAATAAACTTGTACTGTAATTCCATTTTTTCCACCAACTTTTCAAAGTTCCCTCATATTTCATTGTACATATATACCACACTTCATTTACCCATTTGTCTGTTTATGGATATTGGGGTTCATTCCACTGTCTGGCTATTGTGAATGATGTTGTTATGAACACTGGTATACAAAACAGGTTAGATAAGCCTAGGTGCTGCAAGGATCAGATAAGAGGATAGTGTGAGAACAAGTTTCTATCAGCACATTTGAAAACATGTAATTTTGTAATGACTAGAAAAAACTGTCAAAAGCAACTCAAAGAGAAAGAAAATTTAAAATATCCTATAACTATTAAAGAAGTTGAAAATCAGTAGCTAAAAAAAAATTCCATAAATAAAACACCAGAATCAAATGATTTTACGGGAGATAGCTATCAAGAATTCGAGGTTCAGGTAATTTTTTCCTTTTTTAAAGTTTTGCTAGAGAGTACATGTGCTCATTGGGGAGGGAGAGTGGCGGGGAGAGGAAACGCCATGACTACACCACACTCTCTTCTCTTCTATTCTCCTCTTGGGATTTTGGGCATGTATGCACACATGCCTGGGGAGAGTCTCAAGCTACCAGATCCAGGACTCAAACCATGCTGTCGGTCATGTGGGACCCAGCTACCTTAACCTCCATGTCACCTGCTGGCCTCAAGGTTCAGATATTTTTTTTAAGAATAGTTTTATTTAGCTTTAATTGTTTGTTTGTTTATTTAATTTTAATATGACCAGAAAGGGACAGAGTATAAGAGAGAGAGAAGAAAAGTGAGAAAGCAAGCCACCAGGTCCAGGACTCAAACCATGGTCAGCCGTGTGGAAGTCCAGCACCCCTTGCCACCATGCCACTTGCTGGCCCCAGATAATTTTTCTTAAGAATTGTTAATTTATTATTATTATTATTTTATTTGACCAGAGAGAGAGAGAGAGAAAGGGAAACTGAGAAAGCAAGCTGCCAGGGCTGGGACATGAACTATGGTTGGCCACGTGGGAGTCAAGCCCCCTAACCACCATGTCACCTCTTGGTCCCCAGATAATTTTAATATTACATCTCTTCCAGAGTCAAAAAAGAAAAGGAAACTTCTCAAATTATAACTACTGATAATTAGTTTAACCTTGGTTTCAAAAACCTTTACAAAGATAAGAAAATGACTGAATATTCTCACTTATGAAATAGATATAAAATTCTAACCAAAATATTAGCAAATGGAACCTAACAGTGTATAAAGGAAGAAAATAATACATCATGTTCAGTTGAGTTTATCTTAGGGATGCAAATGATTTCCAGGTCCTGGCTTGGACAATAAGGAGAAGTAAACGGTGGGTGGTGCCATTCATTGAGAAAGGAAGCATGGGAGACTAGGAGTAAGGTCACAAGAAACCCTGTGTGGTGAGTGCAGGCAGCGTGCAAATATCCAGGGAGAGATGTCTTGGCAGCAACTGAGAATTCTGGTATAGACTGGTCTGGTGCTGAAGGGGAAGCTGGGCTGGCAGTTCTCTGGAGATAGAGCACTGAGAATCACCAGCACAGATGTGATGCAGTACATCCTACAGGTGTGCTGGAATGACAGAGGGAAACTGAAGTAAAAAGAGAAGAGGACCAAGTCCTGAACTGTAAACAACCCCAGTGTTTAAGAAAAAAGGTTCTGGGGACCAGCAGTTAGCGTAATGGCTATGTCGCTGAACTCCCATGTAGTCAATCGTGGTTTGAGTCTCGGACCTGGTGGCTTAAAACTCATGCCAGGTGTGTGTGCGTGCATGCCCAAGATCCTGAGAGGAGAATGGAGGAGAGGGGATTGAGGTGTGGCCATCCCCCCTGGGTAGTGATTTCTCGCTTCCTGTCTCTCTGGCGAGTGCACATGCCCTGTAGCAAAAACCTCTCAAAAAAAAAAAAAAAGGTTCCCTTAAAAAAAGAAAACCAAACCAACAAACCCCAAACCAAAAACTAGCCAGATAATCAAGAAAAAAACAGGACGGCAAGAAAGTGATATAATGAAAAGAAAGAGACTGAAGGATTCAGCCGCTGGAGTCCACTGTGACAGGGTAATATAGGATGTGGCGAGAAGAAGCCAGACTATTGTGGTTGCTGAGTGACATAAAGGAAGGAGAAATGGGAGGTGTGGCTGATGTTTACAAGAAAACTGGCTGAGGAGAGCAGAGAATGTGCACGAGCATAGGCAGCACGTGAACACATTTGTGGACCATCTAGACAGGAAAAAAAGAGAGAGTGATGAGAGAAAAAATAACATTATGTCCTGTCTGCCACATTCCAGAAAGGAAAAGATTGTTCTTTAATCACACTGCCAAGGCATGAAGACAGAATCAGCAGGACCAGGTTTCAAACCACCCTAACTGACCAGTGTGTGCAAAGTGGATCATGCTTCTGGAAGTTGGCAAATGGCGACAGTACCAGTCCAGCGACCATGCTTCCATGACTAAAGGTACACCTTAAAGTACCATCCCTGACCTTACCTCCACATTCACCCAAAATGATGGAGATAAGAAGTGGAAAGTACTGGGGAAAGGCCTCAGAGGCGAGGAGTATAAAAAGCTCAAATGGGACTGGGGGTTTCGGGCAAGTGAGGGTGCACTGGTTTCCTGGGAACAGAGGAAGGGAGCAGGTTCACAAGAGAAGCTGTGGCAGGCAGCACAAACCTTACAACTGTTAGGCCAAGTTAGCATAATCACCGCCATGTTAAGGAATGCTGGGGCAAATTAGCTTAATTGCTACCCTGTTAAGTCTTCAAGGACGGAGCCCACTTTGTTAGGGCCTCAAGGACAGGAACCAGGAGTCTTGGAACTCTCAGATAAGTGGAAAACGGGCCTCCGAGGCAAGGTCAACCAAACCCCTAGCTGAGAGCCCTTATCTAGACCTGAACAGGCTGGACCCTCACTTCTCATACACCCCCTCCTTTGTGTGTGTTACATTTTAGGGAACATCCTAAACTATAAAAGATCTCTTTCTCTTAGGCACGGGGTCCTTGTTAAGGCCCGTTGTGACGGGCAGAAACTCGGACCCCAGCTAGTTGGAAAAAGAATTAAAGCCTCTTTTGCAGTTGCATTGTCATTGTCTTTTCTGTGTCTCCATCAGACCGCTCTCTGGACCCTTACAACAACTACCCTTCCAGGTCACATGTACAAAGAATCTGAGACTTGGAGAAGCTGCATGGCTGGTGCATGAGCCAGGATAATGTCCATGTCTGTCCACTACAGGGGCCTACATTCTTTTTTTTTAATTTGCCAGAGGATGTACGCACTTTCTGGTGAGAGAGAAAGAGAAAGAACGAGAAAGTGCTCCCCAATGGGGGATGGGGTCACACTGCAATCCTTTCTCTTCATGGCAGTTGGTCACATGGGACACAGTCACCTTAACCATCCCACCAAAGGCTGGCCCAAGGCGTACATTCTTAAAAAGGAGACCTCATACTGCCCCTCAGTATAGCCCACCTATCCTCCTTTAAGCTCTGCTAGTCATATGGAGGATTTTTTCATAGGTTACTTCTCACACTTTCCACAGGCTATCACAGGTTATCGGTTTCATTTATACTCACTTTACTTTCCCAGGATTAAAGTTCTCTGTGGAGCCTACAGACTTTCACAATGCAAATACTCAATGGAGGAACAAATACCTGTGTAATTACCAAATTTGTTATATGCCACTTGCTTTCAAAAGTGCTCGAAGACTCCCTTCATCGCTGCTATAAGC